AGCAGGAAAACCTCCACAGGAAACCAAACAATCTACTCTAATCATGAAGGTAAATCTACACACTGAAATACTTGCTGGGCCTCCTATAGACTCAAGTGACTCCTACGGAGACTGCTCCAGTCTATCAGTTAAATAAATACGTAGGGGAACTGTTTTCAGAAAGTCTGATTATGTCATCAGCCGAGTGAAAAGGCTTCTTCAGAGCAGCCCTCATCTGTTGAGTAATTACAAAGTTGGGACAGGGGACCGAAAGTCTCCTTTCAGGCATAGAGAAAGACTAGATGTACATGTGGAGCAGCTAATTTTAAAACTGCAGCATATCCTCCATTTCCCCTCCTCTCCCCCTTTGCAGAATACCAAAGGGGTTAGGTCACATCCCAGAGCATTCACTTGCTATGTTTTTTTTCCCCCTGTTTTCCTTTATCAAACACATTTCTTTCTTTTCCTCTCTTGTGCTCCCAGGCAGAGATCTTATACACCAGGCTGTAGCCTGGAGCTAATATTGTCTAGTCAAGTTAAATAAATAAAAAAAAGTTTCCTCCAAATGAGGCTTTATAATGGAGATGTTCCTGGTCCCTTGTCTACATCACTGCTAACAGAGGCAATGTGTTACCCGGTTTACAGGCAGGCAAGGAAATCACTGAGAGATGATGAGCACAGGGAGACCAGCAGCAAAGGCTGGACACTAAGCAAACAGATAGGCAGGGAGAGAGAGAGGAGGAAAGAGAACTACACTTTGCAGAATGAGTAGCTTCTAACAAGTCTGAAGGAAATATTATTATGATTTTATTACCGTATTTTATGATGCCACTCTAAAAACGATGTCTTGAAGAAGCAATTAAGCTGAGAACATGAATTTTGCAGCTGTATTTTCCTGGCCCTCCACCTGCCCTGTCAATGAGCTGATGAGCATCCTTGTGCCGTTGTCGTGACGCACCACTTGCTTTGTGCCCTCCAGTCCTCAAAGATCAAATTATGGATGGAGTCAGTGTGGGACAGACTTTCAGAAAACCAACCAGAGATGAATATTCCTGCTCCTTCCCCATCCAGGGAGTTTGATCAGAGAAGACATCGAGGCTTTTGGGAAATGATGGCTCCTCAGCTCTGCTAAACCAGCAGCTTTAGTGTCTCAGTGCTTGCAGGTCCCTCGTGATTTCAGTTCAAAGTGGGGATGTCCAGTCTACCCCTATAAAAAGTGCCTCCTCAGAAGCGCCTCCACGTAGGCACTCCCCAGCTGACTTCCATCTGCTCCCTTCAAGTCCCACTGCCATTTTGTGCACATTCCTCTGAAGGGAGAGTGAAATGAGTGAAAAATAGCGCTGGCAGACAGCTGTCTCCAAGGGCACTGGTTTGCACTGTGCCTTTGGTAAAAATACTTCCACCTCAGTTTCCCCAGCTGGTTATTAAACTTTAGCCCATAGGTAGAAGGAGCACCATAGGATTTAGTCAGAAAAGCTGTCACAACTTAACTGCATGGATTTGGAGGTGTTTTAACCAAACTGCAAAACCCTCATGTTAATAATGTATTTTTACCCTCACCAGACCAGCTCCCTCAGCCCACCTCATCATAGATGTTGACAGTATTGAAGTCTCCACCCAGACAAGCTGCTCCAGGGGAAATATGGGCAGGGAACTTACCTTCTCAACACCTATTTTAGGAAGGGATGCCGGAAGTGAATGTTTGCATGCTTAGACTAGAAAGGGTGTTTTGGCATCCAGCTCAAATGGAGAGAATTGTATCGCATTCTCCTGGGCTTGCTCAGACGAGACCCACCCTTATGAATGCAACCTCAGCAGGGGTTAAAAGTATGTCCGCACCAGCTGAATCAGACTGATTTTAAATGGTCTTTGTTTAATCCGTGCAACTTCCCAAGATATCACCCCTTGGGTAAACAAGGTGCTTTCCAGACTGTTGCATAAGTCTCATATAAAGATTAAGTCTCCTTCTGAGTCCAAAATATGTAATGGCTCCAGAAGAGACAGTTGGGTGGAAAAAAAGCTGGAGTGTAACTGTGCGATGGCTAGTCAACACACGAAACAAAAGGATGAAATGTTGCATGTGGCAAAGCTGTCTTCTCAGCTGTTCTTCGGGAGTGTTTGAAAGAGTTAAGCCCAGTACTGGAATGTCTTGGGAATGTTGGCAGAGGGGAGCGAGCGGCTTTTTTCCTCCCTCTGGATGGAGTCCCAGGACTGAGCTTGCAAAGTGATGACTTTGGATCCGAGTTTGCTTCTTGGTTCTGCAGCGGAGAGCTGGGAAGTGATGCATTGTAACCAAGAAGACCGTTGTGAGGGATGTGCAAGTGCCTTCCTAAGTCAGGAGAGGTGCTTTTACCTCTTCCCTGCTCATCCCTGGGTGCAGCAGAACTCGCTTTGAGAAGATACACGGAGGGAGAAACCACATCCTGAAGGGCGGGTGCGAAGGGAGAAAGACACATCCCCAAACAGTTTATTTTGGCTGCTGGTTTTTGTTGTCGGGTTTGGTTTGGTGGTTTGGGTTTTTTTATTCCTTTCTTTTTCTTCTCCTTCTTTGATGGAAATTGCAGTGACTTTTTAACCTTGCAGTTCACAAGGCGCCTTGGGATTAGCTGATTGCCTCCGAGCAGGGAGTCCGGGGTGTTTCACACGGGGAGCTGGCATGGCTGCTGTGCTTTTTGGCTTTGAGGATCTGCTCTACAGCTGGGACAGCCTGGTGTGGAGCCTGACATCCCGGGCTCTGAGGACTTGCCGCTTTGGAAACCTGAGGGTCCTGCAGCTCATGCTGAAGCCATGGTGCATTTCCAGAGCCGTTTACCAGGTAGGGTTACAAAATACCAGGCCAGACCCTCAAACCCTCGTGCTGCAGAGGGGAAACCCCCCAGGGAGTCGCACAGGGTCCTGTCTCCTTCCTACCAACCACTTTGGATCCCTCTGTCCCACCTACCACAGGTGGTGGGACAGAGAAGACACCGTAGACAGGGGAGGTCTGGGAGGAGAAATACAGGTTTTGAGGATGGTGGTGGGGTCTCCTGTGGCTGAACACAGGTCCAAACTCTCCTTCCCACAGAGCAGAGGGGCATAAGGGAATGCAAATTAAGAGTCACTCTGCTATATCCCCTTTCCTTGAGCTTTATACTCATAAGTACAGCCAGCCTTGGCTCTGCTGCGTCCTCAAGCTGTCCCTGTGGCTGCACAAGAGTAATTTATAACTTACCCAGAGGAAAGGATGCCTAAAGACACCTAACCGGTGGAAAATGGGAAAACGCAGTGGGTTTTAAACTGCAGTAGCACTAGTTATCCCTACTTGACTTGTTCAATGCCTCTGGTCTGCTCTGTCCTGCGAAGTCGGAGGCATCTGACTGTCTAAAACTTTTGCTTTACTCAGTGTGTGTTTTATGTGGTACAGAGAGGTTTGGGGCTTGGTCGACTGGCTTCTCTGTAGAGTTACACTAACTGCTTGCAGCTTGAAGTATAAAAAAACAGCTCTAATAAATTGTGTGCGTTTCTGAGACTGGCTAAACTGGGTTAAATAAACTGAACAGTGAAGGCACTAGAACTGAACGCCACTTTGAATAGCAACTCATTCCAGTCCATAGGTGCATCCAGGTTGAAATGACACTGTAAACCAACCGGTATCCAGCTCGTCTGCTTTTTTAATCAGCTGTAGATGACTGAGGCTAGACATTTGTTCTGCTGTGGGGACAAACCCGTTACAATATTTATCAACTTCACAGATTTGGCTAATGCCAGATGCTGGATTGACTGATCGGTGTTTGCATTTGGAAAAGGCATTTTCTGCTACTCCCATTTGCTTGGTATTTTGCTTTTCCTGTGCTTTGGAAGTCTCCATGTGTGAAGCCAAGTTATACAGAAGAAGTCAGATTAAAAGCCTGTAGAAGTTGTGTGTGTTGCTTAGAGGGAGAGCAGGGCAAGGCTCTTAGTAATTTCAGCAAACTTTGAACCAGCTTTAAATCACGCTCTGGTTTCAGCGGACTTCAGCAATAGATTTCATGGCTTTTTTTGGAGTTCGTTTATTTTAAGTATTTGTTTGTTCTAGAAGACGCCTGCAGCCAATAGTGCAAACCCATTACCGAGAAGGACCCCTCATGACACTGATTGCCCTGGAGGCCCCTGGGGCACGGCTTTCAAACCCCCGTGAGAGGTACCATAGTGATGCCTCCAAGTGAACCAAGCTGCCCTCCCCAGGCTGCGTTTGGTCTTGGTTGGTGTGAACCTGCAGGTCAGTCTGTGCAGAGGCTGCCTGTGGTGTGGGGTTGCCCCATCTGCTCTCTGCAGCTTGTTTTAGGAGCCTGAACCTGAAGCCAATTAGCTCACGTGAGCCTGGGAAAGGGGAAGGGAAAGCAAGAAGGCTCAATGATGAACCCCTTTTTTACCCTCCACCCACGTAAAGCCATCCTCAAGAACTAAGGAGTTATTTTTCAGATGTGTCCAGATCCCAATTATGAATAACCTATCCCAACCTGCACACCATGCGTCAGGGGATGCTACTGCCTATGATAACTCCCGGGATTGGTGGTCTTTTAACAGATTTACTCTGTTGCGAGCACTGAGCGCATGCACAAGTGCACTTTTTCTGTTACAATATGCACACATCTTCAGCTACCCCCTGTGGCATTACATCATGTTCCTGGCATGTAATCCCCCTTCGTAAGAGTCACCAGTGGAATGGGACCAGCAAAGGTGCCTCCCTTCCCATCCAAACGAGCATCGATGCAGCCTGACACTCACAGGGCAGGGTGGACTTAGATAGTTGTCCTTTTCTCAGACAGAATCGGTGAACATCTGCAAAAGCTCAGTAAAATCACGTCACTTTATTTGTCAATGCCCATGAGCTTCCAATTCTTTGGAGAGGACCCGAAATGGTGGGTCAGATACCAGGAGAGCTGCTGCTGGGTGGAGGTTTGCTTGGGAGAGGCATCTCATAGCTCATCGCCACAGAGAGACAGCAGCTGCGGTATTATTAGTCGCCAGCATGAGCTGATAGCTAACTTTACACTTATGTATATTAATCCTAATAGCATTTCCTCCAGTAGTCAGCATCCTCCAATTTAAATACTGATGGGGTATTTTAGTAGAACATAGCTTGGACAGAAAGCCTGATGGTTTAATCACTTCCCAGAGACAGAGATTTATTCCACTGTTTATTATTTAGATGAACTAATAAGGTCTTGACCATGCCAGTTTTGTTGCTGCAATATATTAATCCCTGTTGCTGCTGCATCTTGAGGGCAAAGCAGATCTGCTGTAGGACCTCTGCAGGGTACCAGAACCAAAGCAGCCCTAGAAAGAAACATTAGTCGACTTTGTAAAATGAAGCCAAATGTTTTCATACTCCAAAAAAGTATATTTACATCCCTTTCCTTTATGCTTTTTCCTTTGTGTTAATCACATCCCAGTGCATCTGTGCTTCTGGAGCCATTTGCTGGCTCACCCTTGCGGGTACTGACCTGGGGGTACCGCAGCAGTGTACCATACAGACAGGTTCCTGGCTGAGCAGGAACCACGCTGCTGTGCGCACATCAGTGGGGAGGACTCAGGTCCTCCTTTGCACCACCAACCAAGACCATGGCTCCTCGGGTATGACACCAACTGGGAGAATTTTTTGGTATCCTTTCCCTAGACTGCTGCCTTCACCACATAAACCCTGAAAAATTTCCATGGGTTTGGTATTTCCCTTCTACTGTCTCATCTACAAAATACACCAAAAAAAAAGCTAATACTGTACAGATTTTCTGCCAATGCAATGGGCAATGGGTTCTCAGGCCCCAACATAATCAGTGTAATTCCCCTTACTTGTGACAAGTGAGACTTAGCTTTCTTGGCTTTTGGGAAATCAGGGGAAATGCATTAGCACAGGTATATGAAATGGCACTTTCGGGGTGATGCTGGCTGTTGTGGTCAGATTTCAGACTTGAAATCCAAATTGACACAGCAATCAGAAGTGTAGACTTGCTCAGGTTGCGCTCTGAGCAGTAGTTGTTATAAAATAGGTTAAAACAATCAAAATTTTTTCCTTTGTTCTTGGTCTCCAAACTGGATTTGACTTTCAGAGATGTCGAGTAACTCCATTTCTTGTTGTCTTTGAGTGATGCTGTGGTACTCGTGACACCCAAGAACTAGAAGCTTTTGGTACCCTGAAGCAAGGTACCATCATCTGTCTCAGACTGTATTTCTCTTCCGGGCAAGTAAATCCTCCTGCACGTCCGCTGCGATTCCCAGTGATACATTTGTCTGCACAGCCTGAACAAACCACTTGCCTTGCTCTGTTTTCAGTGGGGCTGATATTCACCAGTTGCTATATTTTAATTGCGATGAGCGCTTGCTATATTTTAATTGTGTTTTGCGATCCACCATGTGGTTTTCTTACTGTGTGATCTAAACGCATTTGAAAAAGGAGATTAACAAATAATAAACTTCCAGTCGAATCTTTCAGACAGTCAGTTGTGTGAGAGACCACAGAGCTGTTGGGTATATTTTTACCAATGCCCAGAAGATGTCTGACTGCTCTGACCTACTAAAAAAATGGCCCCGTGAACTAACACAGTGCCTGCTTTTGCGGAAATACTCACATTTCAAGAAGTGCTGGGGGAGGGCTGGTTTATTATGAGACAGGCAGTCGGTTCTGCGTTTTAACATCCTGAAGATATTTCACTATTTATTTAATCTCCAAATCCATCAACAAATGTTTTAGTTTCCCTGCTATGTCTGTGCAGTGTCAAAGAACATTAGGCAGGCCAGGACCTACATCTTCAGTAAAAGTGTGTTTATGCGCCTGCCTGTTTAAAATCCCACCGACTGCTCCTACCAAGTCGGAGGCAGACTGCTGGACGCAGAGCACTCTCTTGAGGAGCTGTAATACCAATCACAGGCATTTAATTCCTCGCACACTGTACACAGTAGTGCCATGTACTTTTTACACGCAGCTTCTTATCCACCAAGTACTTGGAAAGGCGGTTAAGTAGTATCATGCCTATTTTACTGCCGTAGAAACCGAGGCAGAGACGGACAAAGTGACTCACTTCAGGTTATAGACACAAGCGCGGAATTGTCTTCAAATACCTCATTGCTCCCCATCTATCCTGTTATAGGTAATGGGATTAAGGAGGTGGGCTGTAGCATTCAGGGGCTGGATGTTAACCTAAAATGTGGACGAGAAGAGAGCTTTTGCTATGCCAGCAGGAGGGTAAAGGCCCAAGGACCAACGGCAGGAACAATGCAGAAGCCAAGGTCCCACGATAGGGGAAAGATCTGGGGGCTTTGGGCACCCCCAGCCCCAGGAGGGAAGTTGCTGCTGCTGTGGAAACCCCCAGCTCCTGCAAGGCAGAATGAAGTCACAGATTCCAGCTCACAAATTGGTTTCCAGCTGTAAAAATCACCCATGACCGCTGGCCCCTTAGTATTGTGGGTGCTTTTGCAGTGGTGTCCCTGTCACTGTCACTCCTCTTGGGCCAGAGCTGGCAGATATTGCAGACCAGAAGCTGTTTTTACATCTACACATATGTAGATGTATTCGACCATGGCGAGCCCCCAGTCCACGTCCTCTTTGGGTCTGATGTTTAGCTATTTCATTCAATTATTTTCCAGATCCTAAAATTTTAGGATTTCATGACAGGACAAGAGGAAATGGGTTCAAGTTATGCTAGGCAAGGTTCAGACTGGATATTAGGAAAATTTTTTTCACTGAAAGGGTTATCAAACATTGGAATAGGCTGCCCAGGGAGGTGGTGGATTCACCATCCCCGGACGTGTTTAAAAAAAGGGTAGATGTGGTACTTGGGGACGTGGTTTAGAAGTGGT